TGTTTAATTAACCAAGGGAACCATACAACTTCTTGTGTGAAAGTAATCTGTTCTTTTGGCAAAATCATAGCAAAAAGCAATATTTGTCTAATTCAAAATTATTTTTTTCTCTGAACCATCCAACAACTTCATATTCTCACCCATTGAGATTTAGGTTATTCATTAATTATTTTGTTTTTGTAAATGCACCCTGTGACACTGTGGTTAATGCACTGGACTGCAAAGTTGGTTTGAACTGCAAAGTTAGTGGTTCAAGTTCACCAGCAGTTCCTCAGAAACCAGACTCCACATCACTTAACAACAACAACAACAATACAGAAAGTAGAATAGAGGGACTGGGCAAGGAAGGGGCAGAAGTTATTGCTTAATGCACAAAGAGTTTTGTTTGGGATGATGAAAAAGATCTAGAAGTGGAGAGTTATGATGGTTATACTTGGTCAATGCACTTAAAATGGTTAAATTATGCATTTAAACTGGTTAAAATGGCAATTTTTGTTATGTATATTTTACCACAATTTAAAAGTGAATAAAGAAAACTGGTTTTAAAAAAAAAGTCATGGTCTTTTAAAATCAACAAACCTTCTGAGTAACAAAGATTTACCCATTATAAGGCTTTATGAAGTGACAAAAATTTTGTTTCTGCCTCAATTTTGAATACTAGATCATTTTATTTTATATTGCATATTTTGGGATGAATGCTTTACATACAAAATAGACTCACAGTAACGGTAAGTGAATGCTTTGAACTGTTACCAACTGTAGCCAAATAAGTATTTCCTGTATTGATAACTGCCACTTATATAAGCTACTGATATATCCAGCAGGGTGCTGGATTCTAAGTATTACTCATTGTCTTTGGATTCATTGTACCTTGTGAATTCATTTCTTCCACATTTGGAAAGGAACAAAGTTCTATAAAATCTCACTCAACTTCAGATCTCACAACAAGATAATTTCTTTGGTGAGTCCCTCATAAACTTTCATTTTCTATTAAAAATTGTCATTTTAGTCCTAACTTCACATACTACAGTAATTTTTTCTCAAACTGAAATTGTGAAAATATGAACATTTAGGAAGAGATTATTGGAAATTATGAGTTCTGTGCCAAAATAAAATAACTAAGAATTAACTACTTGCATTGGTTTAATGTTTCTGTTCTGTATCCTGATCTCCAAAATTAAATGAAGTATAAGATTCCAATGGGTCAGTAACTCTCAAATTGGCCCCTGCAGTCCTAGGGGCCATCTTGCTCTAAGAAATTAACTATAACAAACCATCTCCCTCCGAAGACAATTTGCACATTGCCAATCTTCCTCAATTCCGATGAGAGACATTGTTGATTAGTGTCTAGTAAAAAAGACGGTGGACTTGGACAAAGCCAATTCATAGAGACTTGCATACACATAGAAAGAGACCTATTAGCTATTCACAGAGAGATAGTAGCTAGTTCAGGAAAACCACCAGTCTATGAGTATTGGAGGAGGAGAATTTTAAGATCTTCCTTTGACTATTAGCTAAGCATCCCTCTTCATCAGTGTTCCCCCTGTAAACTTAACCCCTAAGCACATGCTGTCTTTAAAGAGATCCTCCTTGATGTTTAGTAAGCTCTAACAGCTTTGTCATAAACCAAAGTTCATCCATAACTCCCCTCCTGACAAGTAGTTCTCTTGAGTGCTTAGTTTTTGAGAATTTCCTTTTGGCCTCCCCTACTTGATCACCAACACTCCAGACTGTTCAAACCTGTGCGCAGCACACACCACTGTTTCCTTGTGGTTGCCTTCACTGGCACATTGCACCATCCCAAATCAGACTTTATACAAAGTTATCCCCAGACTACAATGACAGATCCTCTACGTTTAGATTTCCCTCTTTTGGGGGTCACGGGTGGGGAGTGCTAGTTGGCCTGCCCTAGACTATTTCTCCCTTCCACGGAAGACTTATGTTTTCAATATCAGACAAAGCCCACTCACGTGGTTAGAAGATGGAAACAACACGCTTAGATACTTCCTCACTGGAGCTAGTTTATGTGTTTTCCAACAGTAGAATCATGACACTTTGTAAGTTTAGGAGAAATACATCCTTGGGTTTTGCGTTGAAAAAGAATTCAAATACAAATGGAAGAAACAAAACCATTTTACGCCCTTTGACCTAAATATGTTGCTGTTTTTGTTGTTCGTAAGTACGTTGAGAAGGTTCCAACCCATAGCGACCCTGTATAGGGTTTTCGAGGAGCGGCTGGTAGGTTTGAACTGCTGACGTTGGCTTACCCTACAGAGCCACACCAGAATCCTCAATATACTCGAGGTAAATGATAAAGATCCCTGACCCTACTCTGCTTATTCAAAAAGAACAATTGCTTTTAAGGTCCGACTAAGCCACCATTAACCCCCTACACTCCGTATGCATTTCCGAAAAGTGTCTCCGAGGTGGGGGCGGCTGTGAGGGAATGTGATCCGCCCCTGGGAAAAGATCATCGGGTCCGTGCGCTATTCGTGGACAGAGGGCAATTCTGCACGCCACGTGGATTCAGAATCCATCCAACAATGGATTCCAAAACCCTCCACCGCCGTCTATAGTTATATCTAACTCGGATCTGGTCTCAACAAGGGACAAAATGGTCCATGAAATAGGGGAAGAGAAAAAGAAGGAATCCCAACTAATAATGGGTGGGATTAGATTCAAGAGCCCCGTTGACCGAGGGCAACGAGATCACGAAGGACTTTTGTCCATTGTCCCAAGAAAGGAGCAAACAGAAGTCTAAAACTACGACCGCACGGTGTCAGAACTTCTCTGACGTTTGGATGCTTTACAGCCGACCCCAAGTCCGGCTCTCGGCCTCCCTCAAGCTCTTTTTCCAGCCGCAAGGCGTCTCGGCTCGGCTTGGCCTGGGGGTGCCCGCGGGGCCCGCTTCCCCACGCGCCCAAGTTGACTCCCTGGAGCCGCCTGCAACCTCCCAGACTCCGGGGCCGCGAGGAGCCCTTCAGGTCGCTGCTCCTGGAATTCAGAGCCCTAGCGGCATCCCCACCCCTTGAAATTGCTAAGAAAATTGACGCGGCGCCCCTGCGGCGCCCCTCGCCCTCCAGAAGGCCGGGTCCTGCCTTTCTATGCCCTGGCACCGCCTTTCCTTGCGCGTAACTTGAGGCGCGTAGAGACTGACCCGCTGATTTAAACGCATTCCCAACGCCTTTCCTACACTCCGAGGCCTAGCCAGGCAGTTCTGCTCCGGGCATGGGAAAAATAGCCTCCGCCTCTCCCGAGCCTGCTCCCGCACTGCGAATATAAGTGGATTCTCCCCGCAGCTGGCGGGAGCCAGGTCGCCAGGGCCTGGGGAGGAGCTGAGACACACCCACCGTGACACAGGGGCTTCGGGGATGGCGACAGCGAGGAGGGGACCTTAGCGGCCCACTTCTCCAGGTCTCACTCCCCGGATGTGGCCCCGCTGCCGTAGGAGGACAGTGTTTGGCTGTGAGTTTGTCTGGCAGCTTCTACTGAGCAGCTAATAGTATAACAACCCGGCTTTGATAAATCTGAACTAATTACCCCTCTTAATTAAAGTCTTTAGCAGTTGTTTCACTGTTTTGGCAAGCAAACAGGAGAGACTTGCAGTTAGAAAACACCAGAGCCTGAACTCACAGCGGAGCTGCTGATTAACACTTGAAGCATTTCAAGGACCTGGCACCCGCCACAGTGTGTTTTTCATCCATGTTTCCTCCTTGAATGGAAGTATATTCATCTATAAACGTATATATCCATCTAAAATCACGGTGAGTCCCTTTGCCAGCTGTGTGCGAGTCAATTTGTGCTTTCAGGGTGCAAACAATAGGTACCCTTATGCACGGTTTTGTATTTCCTACGAATTTAGGATTTATATTAAACACGTTCCTAGAAATGTTTTTCCCTAGTGAAGTGCTCACTACAGCTCAGGTTCAAGGCCCAGAGACAAACTTCTGTTAGAAAACTCCACCTTTTCTGTTTCGGAACATTACTAGCTTTTACAACTTTGCCAAAAATCGTAATATTCTCAGAGACTACCATTTCATCTTGGTGAATTTTCGGATCAAAACATTAGGATACTTATTCCAGGGTTGTGGTATGGCGTTGTAGGATAAGTACTGAACGGTCGGTTTGGACGCAAGGTGGACAGTTCAAACTCACCAGCCACTCCTCGGAAACCGTATACAGGGTCGCTAATGAGTTGGAACCAACTTCATGACAGTTAACAACAAATTCCAGGGTTGAGCTTTCAAAATGAGATTGTCAGGATCTATGATCTCTGCTGAATAATATGAACGAAGCCCTGAAGCTGGTTGATTAAATAAGCATGTTCCAAATATTTATTTCCGACAGTTAAGGAATCCATTTCTGCGTGCAAGAATCAAAATCAAACTTGGTATTCATCCATACGGAACCACTCTTAGCTAACGTGTATGTGTGTGGGGTGCTCACGAATGTGAAATGTGCCTTTATAGACACACACATCTAGATGTGTATATATAACATACACACCGTTATCTCAGGAAACAGGAAATTATCATCATCAACAGGCATCTGGAGACCACAGAATCAACACAATGGAAATATATACAATAATAAAATTAAAACGGTGCAGCATTCCAGAATAGGATAATACAGATCTCAATAAATACAGCAGAAATGTGTTTTAAAAAACAAAACATAACATCACCTCTCCACCTGAGATGAAAAGTCTGCAAATTAAAAACAAAACAAAACAAAAATATAGAAAGCAAACACCTCCCCCAATCTCTCATGATTGTTAATGCCTATATAGAATATAATACACAAAACCATTTAGCAGGTGCATGCATGCAAAGACGTGGAAGGCCGGGGACTGAAGCTTTCTGCTCGGCCCTAAAGTGTGGGGCCCAACATGCCCTGGATTCTGCAGACGAGCTTGGCCTGGGAGGTCCAGCTCTAATCTGTCCTTGGCTCTAGTAGGGGCCCAAGCTGGGGTGGGAGGGGGACCCCCGTGGCCTCAATCACTAGTGGCTCTGGTGAAGTGCTGGCTGCAGAGGTCCGGTGGGCTGCAGCGACGGCGGCAGAGGCGGCAGCGTCGCGGGTGGCGGCTGCTGTAGTGAGGACGGCGGCGGGTCGGTACTCTGCTCCCCAGCGGATGTGCGAGCCAGCCCCAGACCGCTGTCATGTAGTTTGCGGACGTGCTTCTTGAGGTCAAAGTTCCTGCAGAAGCCTTTGCCGCACGTGGGGCAGGTGAAGGGCTTCTTATCGTTGTGGGTGTGCATGTGGAATGTAAGGTTGTACACCTGGTGGAAAGCTTTGTTACAGATATTGCACTTGAATTGCTTCTCCCCGCTGTGGGTCAACTTGTGGTTTTTGTAATTCCCTGAAACATAAATGACAAGCACTTGGTTATGAAAAGGGGCTTGAAAAGTAGAGAGGCAAGAGCTAGCGGCCACATCTCCACGGCCGTGCCCTCTTCTGCACTTCCTCTTCCAAGTTTTTGGTGGTGGTTTTTTTTTTTTTTTTTAATTTAACATCAGTCATGAGATTGTTCTTGCCGTCACATTTTAATTTACTACATTTATTAATCCGATTATATAAAAAACGAGAACTTGTTATTTAAAACGAATATCCCCATGCTATATACAAAGCGTAACTTTCTCTTTTAACAGGCAATCTGGTGGGTTAAGGAGTTAGAACGGCAACACAGACGTTGCCACGTATGTCGTTGCAGTTTAAAATTGTTTTCTAAAATATCTCGAAAATATTAGCTAGGGTATTCGATGAGATCACCTTGAGAGACAACATCGCTTTCGATACCTTTTTGATGGAATCCTTTGCCACAGAATTCACACACAAACGGTTTGTAACCGGCATGTATTCGGGTATGCGTGTTTAAAGTGGAACTTCGGTTAAATGCTTTGCCACACTGGTTACATTTATGGGGTTTTTCCTAAACAAAGGGGGAGGAAAAGGAAAGAAGTTACAGTATTTTGTTTTTACGTGAAGTCCTGTGAGCTCAAAGATACAGAACTGCTACACACTCTAACGCTTTTAGGTAGAACAAAGGTAAACAATGTAAGGCATTTACTGCGCTAGCACCTACTGAACAAAGTTTAAGCAAAAGACTGAGAGCTTACTAGCCACTTTGCTACAAACAACCCCGTAGGTAAACCAGGTGGACTTGAGACACGCGTACGTACCTGGGTATGGATAATCTTGTGTCTGCATAACGTGCTGGCTTGCCGAAAGCCTTTTCCACACACTTTGCAAACGAAGGGTCTGGCTCCTGTGTGCACCGGCATGTGACGGGTTAAGTTATAGTGCGCGTTAAAGACCTTAAAGTTAAACATATGTAGAACAGGTTAACAGACTGATATTTTTGTACCAAACCCAGACAGGTAGGGGAGGTGGGAGGAGAACTTTAAAAGAAGCGTATGCAAATAATTACCAACAAAACAAAAATACCAAGAAATGGGAGAAAGAAAGGGGATGGGTGGAGAGGAAGGGAAAGGAAGAAAAGAAAGAAGGCAGAAAGGAAGAAGGAAACAGCTCCTTTTCTACATGGTACTTGCCTTTCCACACACTTCGCAAGTGAAAACTTTGGGTTTGGCATTAGGAGAGACGCGGCTGAACTCCGAGGTTTTGAATGCTATTTTTTCAGACAGAAGTTGGGCGCTTTCTTTCATGTAGTGCTGCAGCTGAGCCTGGGACAGGTCTTTGAAAGCTACGCCCGAGGGGTACTTCTCCACCGCCGGAACCACCAGTTTATTCCTTTCGGCTAAATACGTTTTTGGCTGCGGATGCAAAGGGGAACTGAGGAAATAGGAGGCCACCGGGTGGATGTTGACGCCTGTCGCCGGGTGGCAAGGGCTGTCGCCTCGATTCAGGTAGCACATGGTGCCCATGGCGTGGAAGAAAGAGTGGTTGACCACACGCGGCCTTACCAGCTTGTACTGCTGCAGCGGCAGCGCGTCGCGGGCCAGGTCGCCCTTGAGATTCAACGCGCAGTTGAGCAGATCGCTGCAGCTGAACGCAGGAGCAGAGGGCGCCGGTGTGGGTGCCGCCGGGGCCTCCAGACTTGCCTTCCGCGGTTCCGCACCAGTCATTCCCGTCTTGGGGCTCGTGTCGTACGCCACAGGCACGAAGGGGATCATGCAAGGAATTGGCGAGTTGAGATGCAGAGAATGCTTGGGGTCCCCTTTGGGTACGGCTCCCTGCAGGAAGTGGGGGACAGGCAAGGTCTTGGGCTCAGGGGTGCGCGCCATGATTCGTTCGATGGAGAAAGCCAAGGGTTTGGAAGTACTCATCATGTTGCTTCGGGCCGGAGCGGCAGCTAGCATTTTGGTGGTCGCGTTGTGGAAGCTACTGTCCATGTCTGAGTCTCCAGCGTCCACCAGCCGGGGCCGGGCTGCACCGTCGTTGCCTTGTTCCCTCCTAGTCACAGACCTGCGGAGAGGGGAACGGGCACCATCACCACCAACAGCCTCCTCCTCCTCCTCCCCAGCATCACCAGCCGAACCTGCCTGCCCAGCCCAATGGACTCCTGCCAGCCCATGACTCCGGGACAATCACTACTTATTTCTATCAATAGAAAGTGTTGTGTCAATAACGCAGCCAAGATCTCGCCAATCGTTAACTTCCAAGAGGAGAAGGTAAACTAGATAATTGCTCAATTCGCTTCCAACAGTCAACAGGAAAACTTTTTTTTTCTCTGCAGTCAGTGACTACTTTTCATTGGTGAGCGAGGTGCCCCCGCCCAGAAGAGGCGGGGGCGCTCGCGGCCGCGCGGCGCGCCCTCCCCTTCGCGCGTACACTCTCCCGCGCACACTTAGCTCCCCAACCCGCCTATCCCTCCCACCCCCCCCACTCCGTCCCCGCACCCCCGTTGCAGGCTTTTCCTTCTTTTTAATTCTCAATCTGCTTAACCAGGCTTTAGAGGCCAAGCAAATCTGAGATCAATTTTCCCGTTTAGCTCTAAGTGACATCATCTAAAATCATTGTGCCAGGGCTAAATAAGGAAACGGATCCTAAATCGGGGGCAAACGCCAGGCTATATTTATCAAACGTCAGGCTCCAGAGAGCTGTGGCCAGGGAATCTCCGGCAGCCGACTCCAAGGTTTTCCCTGTGGTTCCGCCGGGCCAGGGTTGTCCAGGACCGCCGCCTCTGCAGTCATCTCTTCCTCCAAGGGCGGAGAGCTGCACGCCCCCCGGGGTCCCCGAGTTTCTGCTGCCAAGACCGAATCTGGACTCTTGGAAGACGCCAGCAGGTAACTGGCCTCTCAAAACACTCCTGAGAATTAAGAGGCTTGCTATGTGTTTATGGTTTTGTAACTGCGGTGCCCGTCGCCATAGGCCAGGGAAAGACGCATCCACAAAGTTAAAAGGAGTTTCAAGGAATAAGCAGTGTCTCACCAAAAGAAACCTCGGCTCGGAGGGGACCCCACCCCCGAGACACAAAAATACACATACGCGCACGCGTTCCTATGACTTTCCTTTGAGAGCCGGGATAGAGAGCATTTCTCTTAGCAATCTGCGGTCAACTAGAGCTCTCTCTTGGTATTTTAAGTCTTGAAGGACAAACGGAGAAGAGAAACCGAATTTATTGATCCCCATGCTCACCCCTTGGCGGCTGGTGCCCGCCACCCTCCCCGAAGCAGTGCTGGCGTCAGCCAGGGTGTCTGAGCTTCTCCCGGCCGCGCCGCCCGGCTGCGCCGGAGTCGTGGCAAGCGCCGCACTTCCGCCTCGAAAGGCGCGCGAGGAGATCCTGCTCCCGCAGCGCTCCCCTTCCGGGTGCCCACCGGGCATAGCCCTCAGACCAGAACCCCAGGGCAAAGCGGTAGACCGCACTAGTGTTCCATGATGACTCCATGGCACCAGCTCCGGATGCGCGAGTTTTCGTTTCTTGGGTGGGTGCGGCGCAGAGCACGCGGGGAGCCGGGCGCTCAAGGCTCACCTTCCTCGGTGCAGCCGGGGGAAAGGATGCTACCGCGCCTAGCAACGCTCTGGCGCTGAGCGCGCCTGAGAGGCTGCGCGAGGCTGGAGAACGCCGCGGCGGCGAGCTCGCGCTGGGAGGCCCAGGGAGCGCGCAGAACTGCGAGCTGAGTGCCCTGCGGCCTGGCAGCTCGGGTGGGTGGCCGCCCACCCGTAGCCCAGGGTGTCATCGGTTTGGTGAGTTACCCAGAGTGCGTGCGTGTAGAGGAGAAGGTGGTGGGTGCCAGAATCAAGAGCAGCAAGGGCGCTGTGGGTATTTCCTTCCTACAGAAGCCCTAGAAGGGTCGAGAATCAGATAACTGGATGCGCGCGGACTAGAAATTCAGGAATTGTCGTGCCCCTGTTAGATTCCACCCAAAAACACCAAGTCTGACCCCAAGCTGAGGAAATTGGACCCAATTGGCCTTCTCTATACCCTGCCGCCTATCACATTCCAAGCTAGGAACCCGGACCTCTCAGTCCCACGCTGGCTTTACGAGAGGGTTTACTGCACCCTGACCCCGCGATCCCGGAGGGGTGCAAACAAGAGAGAACCCGGGCTAGGGAAGCGCCTGATGCCCAGCGGCGGAGCTTGTCAACTGGATGGGTGGTGAGAAACCACTTGCAGAGGAACTAAAGAAGGGGGCGTGAGTCTTGTTGAAAGTTGAGAACGGCCAATAGGCTAGGTGGGGGGAAGGTCTGGATGCGGCGGATTTTAGCAGCCAAGCCTGAGAGTGCTTTCTTCCAGGTCTCAGATTGGCTTCGGGCTCGGTGGGTAAGGTGCAGAGACAGAGAAGTGCAGGAGTCGAACGCAAAGCCAGAGCCGGAGGAAAGGCGCCAGACCTTAGGGCGGCGCTACGAGGCGTCCATGGTTGGGGCTCAGCCTCTCGGGGCGCTCCCAGGCTGGAAATGCTCTTTCTCTTTGCTGTTGGGGGCCGAAGAACCTGTCTCTTCCTCTCCCCGGCTCAGACAAAGGGCGCGGGACGGGCTTTGCTGGCGGGGAGGGGAATCCTGGTCCCACGACAGATGGGTCGCTGTTAAGACTTTAATTGCTGCCTTTGGGGGCAGATCAGGTTCCCTTTCCTACCTGCCGCCTCCCAACATCAAAAAATCCCCCGCTGCTGAACTCCTCCGGCAAAGGGCCAGGTTTAAAGGAAAAAAGCTAAGACGCTCAAGAGCGAGCAGCCCGGCTAGGGGAAGTTTTGGTGAGCCCAACTGACTTTGCACCAACTCACCCGCCTCCGGAGCATTACCTGCCTTCTTGACTGAATGCCACCAGTTTGTTTTACGTTCGTCGCGTGTCCTTCCCTCTCTCCTTCCCCCTCCCCCACTCTCTCCTCCTCCACGGCAAAAGAGCTTTTATTTGACCTCAGTAAATTTCTTCTTTGATCGACATTAAACTAAAACGGGAATTTATTGGCTAAGGGGATGTATTTGTTCTTTATAGTTAATATTTCGACAGCCTGCTTTTAACTGGTCTTCTCGAGATTTGCCTTTTTGACAAGTGTTTGAAAGTCAAAGTATGATGTTATTTGAGTAGCACAAATACCGCAAAAGCAGCAATTATGCCGTTTACATTAAGATCGCACCAAACTCCCTAATCCTAAAGACCGAAAGGCGCTTTACAAATCCAGGTCTTGATATTCCAACATTTGTTAATATTTTTTATTCAAAACATGCGTCAATTAAAACAAAAGATAACTACTAAGAAAGGTTTGGCTTAAGCAAACCTTTCATCTTATTGTCAAATGACAAAAACCATTACTAAGTGAAAAGACTTTGGAAAATTTGGAAGAGTCTTAATATGATCACTTAAAATTGTTTAATTTGCTTTAAAAATTGCCCTGGAACCATGTTTGCTTTGTTTTGTTAATAGAAAAATAAGAATTTGGTTATAGTTTCCTTGGATTTTCTCAGGAAATCCTATAATCCCTCCTTTTTTGGTAGTTGGTGATGAAGTGTCCCTCACTTTCCCAATGCCAGAAAGTCCGTTTTAATTCTCCCCCCCCCCTTTAAATCTTGGTAGAAGGTGAGATTGAAGTGTGTGGTTTTGCCCCTCATGAGTCATCTTGAGAGAATCAAAGCAGTTCTTGACATAAAGAAAGAGACCATAGAGCAAAACTGGTTTAGAACCATCTGAGGAAACAAACAAAAAATTCTACTCCTTTAAAATAATTTAAAAGGAAAACAGCTGTTCTCTCTTCTTGAAGGATTTAATTTTGATTTAAATGTTTTGTAAACTTTAAAAAATGTATTACTTAAAGATTTGCATACTTTTCACAGGTTTCACTTTTTTTTGCAAGCAAACGCAGTTTCTGATCAAGATGACTGCAATCTGAAATAACCCAAACCAAACCTGTTGCTGGTGTAGTCTATTCTGATTCCTAGATACCCTATAGGATGGAATAGATGTGCCTCATAGGCTTTGCATCTTTATGAAAGCAAACTGCCACATTTTTCTCTCTTGGAGCATCTGGTGGGTTGGAACTAGTGACCTTTCGGTTAGCAGCCAAGCAACTGCTTAACCACTGTGCCATCAGGGCTCCTTTAATCTAAACTAAAAAGGATATATGGTTATTGTTGTTGTTAAGTGCCATCATGTCAGTTTCCATAGTTACCCTGTATAGGGTTTCAGAGGAGTGGTTGGTGAGCTTGAATAAATTACCAAAGAATCCATAATATTTCATCTTGCTTAATAAACTGCAAAATACTGTTAGCTTTTTTGAAAAAATAGGAAGTGAATAGGAAAACTCGTTAAATTTTTCCTACTTTCTTTACTGCATTAATTTGTCCTTGGTCTTTTTTTTTTTTTTCTTTCTTTTTTTTTTTTAGGTTTTCAGGCCTTTCCAACATTCCTGGGCCCCACCTCTTTACTAAGAACAACTTTGCTTATTAGCTGCTGTGGCGCTAAGGGGGGGGGGGTAGTTGTTAGGTGCCTTTGGGCTAGTTTTGCCTTATAGCGGCCCCTATGCACAACAAAATGAAACACTGCCCAGTCACCCTACCCTCACTATCAATGCCATGTTGGAGCCCCTTGTTGCCGGCTGCCTCTGTGTCAATCCACCTCACTGAGGGTCCAGAGACTTCGTGAGGAGGCACTTGCTCTCAGGTAAAAGTTGAAGGGAGCACCAGACTAGGCCTAGGATGACATGCTGAGATGGAACAAATAAATAGGAAAGACACCTTACTGAGCTCCCTACACAAGAGAGAGGAAGGTGTTTGTCATCCCCATCACATCTGTTCTCCTTGAAATTGGGGGAGGGATGCAATTTAGAGAAGGTCCCTGGGTGCTCATTATCCTTTTTGAGGGTCTCCCTCTATTTCCCTGGTCCTCTGCTTTATCAAGCATGCTATTCTTCTCCAGGAACTGGTTCCTCCAGATAACATGTTGAAAGTATGTAAG